ATAATATGTTAAATTGCTTGATTTATTTTTCAGAATTATTGTCTTCTTGGTTACACCACATCTTATTCTTTTATACCAAAATTGAAATAATTGGAATAATAAAATAAATAAAATATAGGCTGTGATCGATGATACATTCATTGGATAATTAATTAAATTGAACATGAAATAGCAACCAATTGCAATGTATGACATCTGCCTTATAAATTCCAGAACTAGATACCCTTTTAATGGACCAGATCCAGAAATGTTCTAGTCCACAGATAATGTATGACCCCCTCAAGGAGCAAATTTACAATTGATACTTGTACGACACTACATAACATACATGGATTGATGAGAGTACAAGGAATCACTAATAAAAGTTTTGCTTATAATAATTCCTTTGGGGTATAAATATATTATTGGAGTGAAGAAATTATTCTGTACCAGAATAATGCCCCATACAACCTTAACTATAATCTTCAAATCTATATTTCTTCACGTAAAATAATTCAAGTGATATACTTAAGGCGTATTTGTCATGTAATCCAAGTGTAGGACCAACGTATGAACGAATTAGATTTACTATCTGCTTGTATTTTAGCGAATAAGCAATTAAGTAGGGTTTGAGCTCCTTGATTGTTGAATGTGATATGTTAAGTTGACTTCTTATCATCCACCAATAGTCCAATAGTCAAAACAATGAGCAATTAATTATTTTCAGCCAATTCAGTAACTAGCCAAATCCAGTACCGGTATAGTTATAGCTGGGTAGGTATTGGATGGGCTCCATGGATCATGAATAGATTTGATGGTGCACGTGTGCCATTCGTGCAATAAGGTTATCCACGAAGAGCGAACGATGAATGATTATTTTTCATGTTTAAGCCATTACAATCGGTATCAGAATTTTATTTAGAGTTCAACTACAATGCATTCATGTCTCAACCAATCATGTTAAAAACATCTTATTTTTCGTTGATTTATATTTTTATATTTAATAAAATATATTTTAACGTTTAATAAAATGTGAATCAAGAATATCATTACGTTTTGTTGTTGAGTGCTAGGGTTGAAAAGTGACAAGCATAGGGTCCAACATAAAAAGATTATCTTTAGAATCAAAACAAAATAAACGGAATTGGCCACAGGCTAGGTCAATCTAAGTTTAACATTTATTTGAGAAGAGTCCAACGCTAGACGGACTTGCCAGCTGGCCAGTTCCTAGGTTTACATCTTGGTCCAGCTAATAAGTTGGCGTGACCCTTTCAAGATTGCTTCATTATTCCCAAAGGGGTTTGGATGGAATCACGGTGATGCATATCGTCCCAGCTAAGGAGATTGGAAGTTTGCCTTTTGCCATGAACGCTGGATGTAGACCTTTGCTTTTGGGTCTATTCTATCATCACAATTCACATCAGATCATCGCAGCATCACATGCAACGGCCCATAACTCCTAAGTACGGTGCCCCAAGTTCCTAGTTCTGTTTTTTATCACTGTTTTGAAAATCAGACTGGATTGAATGGTTAGACCGTTTGACCCAATAACCGATCATCATTTCGGGTTGATCAAATTAAGAACCGATGACTGAATGAACCAACCTAAAATTTGGAGTGTTCACTAATTTGCTGAGCCATACATGTAAGCTTTCTAGAACTTGGAAATTGAACTCCATCTGCTCGAGTTAATTCCACTCAAGTTTTCAAGGTTCTACTTCTAAACAATATGTTTTCAATGTCGGTGGTCGGATCGGTGAACTGACCAGCTGACTAGCTACTGCTTTTATTACTCTCACCGGCAAATTAACCACTAGCTTGATTGAACCATCCGACTCCCAAGCCACCTGACCAACTTTCCTGCTTGAGCATGACCTTTGGGTTGGGCATTTGACTTCATCTCTAGACGACAACAATTTTCACAAGTTAGGTTTGGTAAGAAATGCAGAACCGAAACGAATTTGCAATAAATGTTTGATATGAATACATTTTCGTATTTAAAATAAGTTGGTTCCAGCCTTAAAATTCACATTTGCACCTACTACAACCAAACAAGACATCATGAATTTCCCAGTACACAATCGAATCAAATTTGCATATAGTTGCAAACTCGCTAGCTAGAGAGCTAAAAGCCCGTTTGGGAGGATTCTGCGTTGTTTGAGCTGCATTGATCAATTCGTTCCAGAGAAGCTACGTGAGATAACTTTACAGGAAAGTGGATTTTGCGACTTCTATAAATATAATTCCGACTCTCAGGAGTTTTAACAAACACTTCACCATGATATTCCGGGTTTCTTATTTCATAACATATGAATCCACCTATACGTTTCAGTGGGCAACAGCGGACCGGTGCTAGGCCCACTGGCCCAGCCCTAGGAAGTGGGAAACTGGGCTCCAAAATATGAAGTTGGGGGATGTTTGTCATGGGATGTGCCCCTCCCTCACTCACACATCATACATTCCTGTAATTCCGCAGACTTGTCCCAAACACTCCGTTATGTGTTCGACGAATGTACAATTCTTGTCAGTGCACGCGTGTATAGTAAGGCACCCTCAGAGCCCAGACGGCGACCACTCACTCACGACAATCATTGTCGCATCGCGGGGCCCATCAGCCCATCTCCTCTTTGCTCCCCAAAATCGTCGCGTTCTCAACTCATTCGCGGAACTTCCAAGGTGGCTTCTCTAGTTCTCGATGCTCCACGCTGGGCCCACAGTCTCTACCTTTTATCGGCGGTCGCGCCAATCACTCCGTGATTACGCTCGCTCATCACTCCATCTCTCCTCCACTTGTCGTCATTTCTTTATTATTCGGAGGCACGTCGCGAGGTGTTCACAGGACTATTGCACTTACAAGTTACAACAACCATTCAAGAGATCAACCTTCATGCCCCTGTTACATCGAATCTTTAACTAATTGGACGGTCTTGATCGATCCGTCTTATCTATGGTACATAGTACCGCGACCATGAAGAAGGTGAAACTTCGAAAACGGGCCATGGGGGCCGCGTTTTTGTCAGCATCGGTCTGAAAAGGAGAGGGTATTTTGGTAAATAAAACAAAAAAAAGCTGATGTTCTTGGAGGAGGGACCCATCATTTATCTTAACTATACGAAACAAGTAAGAGGCAGAGGCCCCACTAATGATTCTGATGGAGACAGGAAAAGTTAATTCTGTCTTGTGATCTCCAATAAAATGCTTTACTTTTCGGTGCTAATCGATATAACTTAATTTTGTTTTTTCGGATCCCGAAAATAACCCTCGCTTAAGCTGTAGCGAAAAGGAGCCGACCGGATGACCATGACGACGACGAACGATCAGACTTGTGGGGGCCCACATGACAGCTGGGTTTTAAATCCACCTGTCCTCCAATACCCCTGAAATCAATGCCATGGCGCGCTTTTTCTCCAAAATTTAAAAAATAAATAAATAACAAGATTAATTGTAAAAAAAGAGAATGAAAAAAAATCCACTTCAAATCTATCTGTACACTAACTCAGAGGGTATCATGTCAACACCCTCTCATGCGTGAATTTCACATGTGCCAGTGGAATTAATAGAAGTTTCAAATTTCTTCCACTAATCATGTCTCGTTTTTAATATATTAAAATTTATACTAAATTTTAAAATAAATAAAAAAACAGGATTTAAGAGTTTTTTTTTTTCATTTTTGTTAAATAAAAAAGGGTAATATTATATGAGGGCAAATTTGGGTCTTAATATCAGTAAAAGTAATATTTTAAAAAAAAATTTAAAAAATAGTGCAACTTTTGAAAAATAATATCAATAAAGGGCAAAATTACTGTTCATCTTTTTCTTCTTGCCGTCTATTCATTGGTGCCGCCGCTCGCTGCGGTCTGCCACCGCCTTTGGCAATGCCTACATCTGTCTCCACCCACCTCCGTCTCCACTTCCGGCAACATAAGTAGACCGGAAGAGGAAGAAGATAAACAGTGATTTTACCCTTTATTGATATTATTTTTGAAATTTTTTTAAAAATATTAATTTTACTGATATTAAGATCCAAAAGTTACCGTTATATGCTATTATCTCAATAAAAAACGGGTTCGCTCTCAATTAAAAGAATCGATTACGTTCGCCATCTATGGTGAGCCAACTAAGCTACTAGCACTTGAGGAGTGGCTAACCAACCTTTCCGTTGAACGGAATATCTCTATACGACCAATTATAGCTCACGTTTAGTCAATACAAATTCAATCCCATGACTTCCTTAGGGATACTCCCTCCGATCCTGTTATGGTATAAGTCCAAATTTTCTAAGCTCTTTCCAAGCTTCACCCTGCAAAGATCAAAGTCGAACTCATTCCATGATAAGTTCAGTCACGACAACATTTCGTTTGTTTTGAACAACGCTGACGTATCTCCTTTAAACTTGTTCTTACTAAGATAGATTGCTTCTTCATTGAAATTACTTAGCGATTTGGGAATTTTACCAGAATGCTGGTTCTGTGAAAGATCGAAATGAAGGAAGCGGTTTTATGATATCCAAAGTGAGTCGGGAGTGTTTCTTATCAATTTATTACCTCCTAGGCCCAAAAGTTTCAGTTTGGGCAGATTTGCTATAGAAGCCTAATTGGACCAAAGAAATTGTTGTATGATAGATGAAGAAACCAATGATTTTAGGAATTCTGGAAGTCGGAATTTTTATTCACTGTTTTTCTTCTTGCTAATATCATCTCCTTAGAGAGCAAACCTTTTTTTATATGACAAAGAGGTAGAAGAAACCCGCAACCCCTGTTTTTTTTATTTGCTTTAAAAATTAGTATTTCACCCCCATTTTTTATTTATTTTAAAATTTAGTAAATTTCAATATATTAAAAATGGGATAGGAGGAGTGAAGATGTTTGAAACGTCTGTTCGTCTCATCCGCACGTATGAGATTCACACACATGAGAGGGTGCTGACATGGTTGATGTACAGGAACATCTACTGGGAGGAATGTACACGAGATCCGGACTCCCAAAACTCTGCTATATATATAACCGAGTAAAGAGAAAAGACCCACATTTTCCACTTTGGCTTCTATTTCGAATATGCCCAGAAACTGCATTCGCCGGTCTCCGGCGCCACCTGTTCCGGTGTTTCTCGGACTAATAATATCGACTACCATAGTCTATCTGTTCTCCTTTATCAGTCCGGTCGTCGGGTGGCGCCCATGGCCTCATGAACAAATTAGCAACACTACTGCTCTCGAGTTCGGAAGCTCGAAGAAGTACGAAGGCTCGTCCGCGTTCGTCCACCTGAGGTATCACATGGGCCCCGTCCTCACTGCCAATATCACCGTTCACACCGTCTGGTACGGAACGTGGCAGAAATCCCAGAAGCAAATCATCCGGGGTTTCCTCAAATCCATCTCCGCCGTCGACGGCAAACACCCATCGGTGGCTGGGTGGTGGAAGACCGTACAACTCTATACCGACCAAACCGGGGCAAACATCTCCAGAAACGTGGTTCTCGGCGAAGAGAAGAACGATCGTTTTTACTCGCACGGCAAGTCGCTCACCCGCCTCTCCATCCAGTCCGTGATAAAAAGCGCCGTGACGTCCCGTACGCGCCCCCTCCCCATCAACCCCAAGAGCGGGCTCTACCTCCTGCTCACTTCGGACGACGTATACGTACAGGATTTCTGCAGGCAGGTCTGTGGATTCCACTACTTCACCTTCCCTTCCATAGTGGGGTACACGCTACCGTACGCCTGGGTGGGCAACTCGGCCACCCAGTGTCCCGGCATCTGCGCGTACCCTTTCGCCGTACCGGTGTACATGCCGGGGCTGAAACCGGTGATGTCACCGAACGGTGACGTTGGAGTGGACGGGATGATCAGTGTGATCGCACACGAGATTGCCGAGTTGGCAACGAATCCATTGGTGAATGCGTGGTACGCGGGGCAGGACCCTTGTTTTCCGACGGAGATTGCCGATCTCTGTGAAGGGATCTACGGTACGGGTGGTGGTGGGTCGTATACGGGCCAACTCCTGGACGGAGAAGATGGAGCTACCTATAACATGAACGGAGTTGGGCGGAGGTTCCTGGTTCAGTGGGTCTGGAATCCTGTCTTGAACTACTGCTCTGGTCCGAATGCCCTAGATCAGTAATAATTACACAAAAAAAAGTGAAGAAGAAGAAGCTTAGAAAGATGGTAAAAAAAGATAGTTGTTTTTGTTAATTTCTTCGAGCATGTTTTATCCATTTATCATGGGGTTAGAGAGAGAAAGAAAGAGAGGGATTATCGTTACTTGGTTAGTTAATAGTTAGTCCTCTTAAGTTGTAATAAACGTCTTCACATATTTTGTTTGTTTATAAAAACCACGTAGAGGGAGAACGGTGGCTTTTGGAGCGATGTTTGGAACCAATGCGGTTTCTTGAGAGGTGTTTTTCAAGTAAAACGGTTCTGCATTAGCAGACCGTTTTCTTAGAAAACGTTTTTTCATTTTTTCCTGTTTGGAATCATTGCTGCAAACAATTGCATTTTAAATGCCATGTCAGCAAAATGTTGCTAGCACTAGTAAAAAATGTTTTATTAATATACATATTTTCGATCTCTAAGTAGGTGTTTGGCATTGGTGCTGGGAACATCATAGATGTGGAATTGTAAATACCCTTTTTTTTTTTTTGGAATTGGTTTTGTTTGTGTTTTCAATATGGTCTATATTATCTAATGTCAAAGATGATGATATATTGTGTCACATCATTGCACAGTTGGCATTAACACTATTTTATCATTAAACATTGAATTTGGTTGCTCTAGACCACATTTTCCTGATTTCCAAGGTGTGGTATAAAGTAACATATTTTTCTGGAAAAATAGTAACAAACAAGAGGGCGTTATTTGAAGCACCGCTTTCTCTGATGTGGCACCTACATCAGAAAACGACATTAATGCCAAACACCCACTAAATCATAGTATGAGAAAATGTTTTTGAAAAAATTCATAATCAAATATTAGTCATTGCCTGAAAAACAGGTTTCAAGTGTATTATTGATATGATGCTATTTTTCAACAAAACGACATTCAAGTGTTTCTCCCAATGGCCCAACGTTTATTAAAATGCAATACTTACCTAGACCATTGATAGATTTATGGGGTGTGATTATATTTTATTAACAAAATACAATAAAAAATAAAGTTTAAGTGATGCTTTTCACCCATCTATAAACGCCCACGAAACAAAACACATATACTCTGACCCTACCTTATTTAAGTTAGGTTGTAAAACATTTTCTCAGTGGGGCCATGGACGGGATTTTATTTTGGGTGAATAGGACATAGATGAATTTGATCCTAAAATCTTTCCCTCTTTTTCTTTTAGGCCAAAGAAGACCAAAATTTATTCGATCAACTGCTCAAAACAGAGTCATTAGTTTTTACAAACAAATTAAAAGAGCACATGACCAAGTAAAGTGACTAGAGAAAGAGTACTAGAGTGATTCTTCCAACAGAGCGTGAATGATATTAAGCGCATCTCCCTCAATCTAAATGGAGGAAAGCTTAAGACCCACAACAAGATTTAAGGATTCTAGCAGAGAAAAAGCTTCGCATTCACATTCAGTAGCTGAACAAGGCTTCAATCGAACCGCCCCAACTGTGATGAACTACCTCCATGATCTCTAATCACCAGCATTGGGAAGAACCACAGACATGTAGTCAGAATTATTCAAGAGATCCATCCCTAGCCTCTCTTAAAAAATTTATAAATTGGATGCGTTGACGTCTATTTTATTATTATTGTTATTGTTTGATGGTGGAACAGACAGACCAGAGTGACCACAGAGCAGTGAGACAGCGGCGCACCAGAGACTAGAGTAGCTTATTTTTGTACTCGTTTAGACAACTTTTAGCCGCTCAGGGGTTATAATAACAGAGGTTTGTTAAAATTTTGATTTGACTTGGAGTTTCTTCGTCTCGTTGCTCGATCGTTGGTCTTCTGTTTCAGACTCACACGTAGTAGAGTATCTATTACTATTGCTACAGTACAAACAACACATTGCAAAAGGGAAACATCCGACAACTCGTGTAATGGAAACAAACCAATCTCACTAATCTCAAGGAATCTTGCTACCCTACATGTGACACCCACCAACTGTTTGATGTTTGGACTTTCTCTTCTGTTTCTTACTTTCTTCCACCTCTCTGTGACTATGTACAAAATTCACCACCATTCTCGACTCTCGACTAATGGAATGGGAATCCGTTGTTGCACAGCTCCAATACCCTGTTTTAATTGTGCTACATCCGTCACTCAAGCATTTCACAGAGAGAGAGAGAGAAAAACGACACATTCTCTAACATTAACCATTGCGATAAGCTTTGGCCTGTAAACAGAAGACAGGCCATCTGTCCTAAATTAAGATTATCAGGGCCTACCATTCAATGGTTCTCACCTTCAAGATTAAATAGAGGGTCAAAATCTGCTTACAGTATTGTACGAAATGGTACACTGAGCATTTTGAAGGATCCGAAGACGATGCATGACCACTCCCAGTCTCAAAGGCATCTCTCCTCTCATCATGCTGCCTTTTTGATGTGGTCCCTCTGTAGTCTGTACAATGGGACCCGTCAAATGATGGTTTCTAATATATCTGCCAGACTGCCATCTGGTAAGTTATGTGGGCCCTGAGGCACTCGGCCCACTCACTTATTAAAAAGAATCAACTAATTAAGACGGTGGGTGTGGGTAGTAGACCACCCTAAAGAAGTTATCAGAGCTATAAACGGGAGCAACCACCTCCACCAGCCACATACATGCTTGATGCTTCACCCGCTTCCCATTACTCTAAAGAACCGCCATTATTAATAAAGCTATCAATTGGCGGGTTGATTTGGGACAGCGTCATAAAAGAATTATTGAACCTAAAAGTTTAAGTTGTTACAATGTTTAATTTTTATTTTATGGATAAGCATAAGATTATCTATATCTTGTATTGAATCTTAATTAATTGACCATAATCAGGGTTAGCTCATTTGATCAAACAGGTTTTTATATCATCTCAAAGTGATATTCAACATGAAAGCTTAAGCTATTAGGTGAGGACTGTGAGGTTCTTGAATAGGTTTTTATTTTATAACAAAGGATCACTATCCTTATTATTTTTTGCTTTGTAAAATTCAATGTTTTTGAGCTGTTGTTGATTTGGACAGTCAGACTGTTTGGCTCAAAAATTGTCTAGACAACTAGTTCCTTTCCACCCTTAACTCATTCCTGGGTCAAAAACCATTGACTGGGTTAGAGAATTGCTGACTCAAGCGATTGAACCGTTGACTCGTTTGACCTAGACAATGGTTCACGGTTTAAGAAAGTTGTAGAGGATAGAGAGGGTAGAAACTGAGACAAACTCAGATATGAGATCTAGAGAGAGAGAGAAGAAGAAAAATATTGCAGAGGTTGGAGAGAAATCAATCTCAGATCTAAGATCTCAGTTCTTAGGTCTTAGATTTGAGATTTGCGTCCGTTGCCGCCGCCTCACCGTCACCATCACCATTATCATATCTGATGAGCATCTAATCATCCTCCTCCTTCCTTCCTTCCCTCCTTCATTCCTTTCCTTTCTCTCATTTTCTTCTTTTTTTTTTTCCTTTCTCTCCTTCCCTTCTTTCCTTTCTTTCTTTCTTTCCTTCTTTCTTTATTTTTTCTTTCTCAGTTGACAACTCCATAGTCTCTTCTCCTTTCTCATATAAAACTTTTATATGAGAAAATATTTGCCCTAATAATGCAAAGTGTCCGGATCGTTCGATTCAAATAGTTGAACCATTGACCTGAAAACTGGTAGCTAGAAAAGTTCCATTTTAGGCCGATTTTTAAAACCTTGGTAAAATCAACAAGAAACAAACCAATTTTTAATTGTGATATCAATTATACTTAAGTTGTAGAATTACCCATCATATAACAACTTGGAACTTTAAGGGGTTGATTTTGTTTTTGTTTTATTTTTGAAAACAAAAATAACTTCCACATCAGCAAAATTGTATTACCTTGCTATAATAGATATATTTTTTTTCAAAAATAAAACCAATCATATTGTCCAAACAACCCTTTAATTATATTGATGAAATATCCTTAACAAAAATAAGAGCAAATAGAAAACTGTTTTTGTGTTGATAAATAGGTGTTACATAATGCATTTATACAACAAAATCCAGTCCGGTTCCATCTAGTTAGATCAAGGTTTTTAAAACTGGACAGGACAGGAAACTGTTTTGGGACTGATTCCCGGGTCAGTCTGATCATCTGGTTTGAATGGACAGTCCATTCTAACTTAAAAGATAAAAAATGGTCAGAAACTGTTGTCTAAGTTGATGGTTTAATTGCCTGGGTCAGTGAATTACTGACCAAATCAACGGTTTTTAACCAAAAAGCAATTTTTAGAGTGAAACAAAACCGATTATCTAGCTGATTCCAGATTTTCCGGTCCAACCATCTGGTCCGGTCTGATTTTAAAACCATGAATAAGATTTAGATCGGAGTCACTGGACCACAGCTCTGGTTATTAAAAGGGCTGCTAGGTTACATATTAATCGTTACTATCAACCGGCAAGTGGTAGTTGGACTGGAAGACTATAAACTGTACCGTTACCCACGTGCTCTACTCCATGTATCCATACAACTGCCGTTATAACTGTCATCGTGGTGGTGTGATAATTAAACAGTTAAGGACTTAGAATTCAAGGTCCCTCCATTATCTCGTCCTCTGAGACCCTACCCTCCAAAAAGGTAGAAAACAATTATATAAAACGAGAATGAGTACATCCCCGTCGCATTCTGGACAGTTTTATCGTCCGAATTCGATGAAGATGAACACCGTAATTACAAAACTGAAGAACGGGTTTCAAGTTTCTACTCGATGCTTTTCGCTTCAGTAATAAAACGGAACCGGTTTTACACCTCAAATGTGGTAAAGGGACGCAACCAGCATCATTAGGGACGATAATTTCTATCCTATTCGGTAGGGGTGTTTAAGGGTTGGATTAGGTCGTTTTGAGTCATTTTCCTTAATCGATCTATTCTATTCAGTTTATTTATTGGCTAAATCGAAATCGACTGACTTTGAAATAAAACCGACCCAAATATGAAGGGTCAGTTTATCAGTTTATCCAGTTTTTATACATATTTTAAACTAAAATATCTATTTTTAAGTATCTATTTATATTTAAGTTTATTTCGATTTAATTTTTATGCAAAATCAAAATATATATTTAAATCGATTAATTTTTTATGCAAAACTGATTTTTTTGTCAATATATATTTAAATTTATACAAAACTGAATTAAATATTGTACCATTGTATTATATTTGTATTGGTTTTACATTTTTAGTTTTTATCATAAATAACCATTTTTTTTTCAAAGTTCAAACAAAACACAAATAAAATATATCAACATTTAACATATGAGGTAGGGAATAATTAATAATTACTTAAACATATAGGATCGGTTCGATTTTGGTTTTCATACATGAAAACCAAAACAAAACCGAGTTGTAGGTTTATTTTCTCATACAAACTGAAACCGACTAGTGATTTTAAAAAACCGATTAACTCGGATTGGG